CGGAACCTCAGAGGACCGAAGCAAACCTCCAGCCAACAACCTCTAATAGCTTCTTCTTGTTCCCCTAAAGCTGTGAGGTCCTTTTGTAACATAACACCTACAATAAAGATGCCCCAGAGATACGCACTGATATATTACACTCCAGTAAATAGAGGCATGCACATCACGTGACACATATCACATCAACTTATCCAAGTGCATTTGCTCAGTGAAGCTCTCACTGACACTCACAAAAACCTGAGTTGTGGTAAACTACAGCTAAAGAATGTCTTCTCGGGAAAAACACTGTGCCTGATGAAATTATTACATTTCAGAGGCATCTGACTGAAAGCCTGTACTGCCCTAATGGGTAAAAACAATTTGCGAATGAATTAGAATTTGAGGAAAAACAAGAAAAATAATTGCTTTTGTCTATAATTATTTTTAGATCCATTTAACTTGGGACAACTTTCAGGGCCCTGAGCCCCAGTTTGAAATACAGATTTTCATAAAGACTGCAACTAAGTATTATTTTCCTCATTGCCTTTTTAAATTAAATGTTTAGTCTTGGGCTGCATGTAATTAATTTTTTTCCCCATTAACTGTTTGGTCTGTAGCGCTTTAAACCTCTGGGGGGAAAGGCTGAGTCAGGTTAACAAAACATACACAAAAAACAGAATATAAACCTATGAAATCACCCATTTACCTTTAAAATACCTTTTCTCACAAAAGGAAAAAAAAAATCAAAACTGAGAAAAGGTAATGGCTACAATATTTTGCTTCTAACATGTCTGTTTATCAAGCACTTCTAGTTCCTGGTAATGAAAGAGCAGCTGAAGAACTGAATTTATACGAGTATAAATGTGATGTCTGGATTGTGCTAGGAGCTGATCTGCACTGCACAGTCACTGTCAGACTGTGCTGATTAAGAATCTAAAGGCACAGTGCAGTGAAGTCAGACAGTACCTAAACACAAGCAGTGGCTGGGCAGACAATTTTGAAACAGAAAATGAGTCATTAACATATTACCCATGTAAATAAATACAATAGATTTGACTTTCATTACTGGTTTGCTTTTAAGGGGGATCTGAGAGGTTCATACCAAACCACATATGTACAGGCAGATGCTGCATTTAAAACATCTATTAAGCTGAACAGATTTGTTGACTGATTAGTCGGTTTTGACCAAAGCTCAAAACTTAGTCTTAAAAGAGATCCAGATAGCAGACACGAGCCTAATCCATCTTACTATTGGAACAGCAGCAGAAAAAAACAAGCAAAATTGTACTTTTCTGCAGATTCTTTTTCTACTCTTTTTCTGGTTGAAACCACACTACACGAAAACAACTGGATCACAAAACAACACAACTCATCTACAGGTATTTAAGGAGAAGCTAAGTGAAAACTACATCATTTCATGTGTCACTTCAGCTCTAAAGGATGGAGGATGCAAACCTTTAAGGGTTTGCAAAACAGCCCTGCTTTCTCTCACGATCCCCTGTGAGGATCCTATCTGAGACACCAATTACCTTCTAGTTCACAGCAGAATCGAAGGCCCTGCTCTCTCAACCGTTTACCTAAAAGCCTGAGCCACTAAACATATATTGAGATAGCTATAAGTGGATCCCTTCCATTCAGCGACGGAAATTATTACCCGGAGAGTTTGTCCAAACACACAGCAGTTTTCAAAACATGCAGCAAAAGCACTCATCTGTTTTAATGTTGGGGTAATTCTCAGAGCAACTAAGATGAAATTAAAATTTTAATTGCATTCATCCAAAGCCAGACATAGATGGAGTAGCTTAGGATGTCTGAAGCCATATTCTAGGTTACAAAGGCTAAAGGGACACATAGAAAGAAATACTCAAGCCTAATTGCTTTCTTCCAATCGTCTAACATCGGCAGGGTGCACCAGATGTGACGTGCCAATCATGGAAAGTACAAATGACAACTGGAAGCAAACTGTTGTGTCTATTCCCACTGGGAATGACATATCCCTAATTATTCATGCAAAAAGCAAAGACGGGCTAGGTTTTAGTCTAATTGATTACGTTAACAGTGATACTTCATCTGTCACCCTTCCTACAAAAATGGAGAGGGGCTGAACCACCAGCAGCAAATCAAATGAGTGTCACTAATTTTTCAGATAAACTAATCCAAGCTGGCACTCAAATGAAAGCTCTTTAACATGTGTGCACTCAGGCCTCCCTCTTTAAGTTTGTGGTCCTCAAACTGTGGGGCAGACCCCACTGTTGTGGTGAAGCATCAATTCATGATATATTACACTTGCTGGCAACTTCATTAACTACACCTTGTTAGTACTCAATTGGATCTCATTTTGCCAGCAGAACTGCCTTAACTCTTCTTGGTATAGACCCAAAAAGGTGGTGGAAACATTCCTCAGACATTTTGATCCATATTGAGATGATAGCATCACACAGTTCGTGCAGTTTTGTTGGCTGCAAATAGACAATGAGGATCTTCCATTTCTCCAAATAGCAAAGGTGCTCTGTTGGGTTAAGATCTGGTGACTGTGGAGGCCATTTGATTGCAGTGAACTCATTGTCAAGTTCAAGAAATCAGTTTGAGATGATATGAGCTTTGTGACATGGCACATTATCCTGCTGGAAGCAGCAACCAGAAAATAGGTACACTCATAAAGAGCTATACATGGTCAGCATCAATATTCAGGCAGGCTGTGGCATTTAAATGATGCTCAATTGGTACTAAAGGGTTGGGATCAAAGTGTGCTGAGAATCCCCCCACATCATTTCACCACCACTATCAGCCTAATCTGATGATATAAACTAGGGTGGATCCATGTTTTGATATTGTTTACACCAAATTCTGACGCTAAAAATCAAGACTCATCAGATGAGACAAGGTTTTTCCAGTCTTCTGTTATCTGATGTTGGTGAGCCCATGCAAATTATAACCTTAATTTGCTGTTCTTATCCAACATCTGTGGCACCTAGCGTGGTCTTCTGCTGTTGCAGCCCATCTGCTTCAAAGTTCAATGTGTCGTGCACTCAGAGACGCTCTTCTGCATACCTTGGTTATAATAAGTGCTCTCCTTTCAGCTTAAAGTTAAAGGTTGTGAAACAATCCCAGTGTCTACATGCCTAAATGGACTGAGCTGCTATCATGTCTTTAGTATTTTCATTACTGCTCCAGTCATCGTAGCTGAATAAACCTTCCTAATATTCACATAATAAGTTTATAGACAATACACTTTATTTTTCCAAAATGTGGGAAATTTCCTTGGTACAACTGCTAGAAGAATAGAATAAAAAAGGACAAAATACACATCTTAATAAGAGAAAAGTAATTTCAAATAAAAAAGAATAAAGTTTGATGATGAGAAATGAGCTGCAAAGACTTCCTTATAGTAAACAACATGAGAGGCAAAGGATTTTGAATAAGCTTATAGACTCAAAGCAAAGCTCAGTCCACTGGATGGACAAGACTGTGCTTGGAAAATAATTAAGGTTTAATCTTTAAATGTTTATTTGTAAAAAACAAAAATAAAAAAAAGCACAATTTCATCAATTCTCCAGAAACGTGTCACAAATGCGGTGTTTTATCCAACTTTTAACTGTCAGATCTCAAGTGTTTACAATTATGGAGAAGATAAAACATCAGATCCTCAAATGGACAAATAATGTGAATAATTAATAAATAATTGACACTGTTGTCACCTAATTATTGGTTAATTAACTCACCAGGTTAACATATAGCAAAGGACATCTACCCACATGTACACAGTAAGCTTTCTGTAATGTAGAAGAAGTGGGGTTTTTGTGTAAAAAATAAAATAAAAGTGACTTTAAAAGAGTATTTTGGGAAATAATTACTTCAGGAAGTTCAAAATCAAATTAGCAGTACACCCTCGACCTCTTTCAGGTAATGGATTAGAAGAGCTGCAGGCAACCCCAGTTGTCAGTTTAATACACAACTGTTCAGCCAGATATTAAAGCACATAGTAAATGGAGTGGTACTTCCACAGTGCCTTTCTACTCAATTCGGGCACTTCTCTACTTTTGGTAAGTCTCATTCAGCCAATCACGCACACGTTTATACAGCACTTTTATCCTTACAGTATGAACATGTTTATGTAACTGTTAGTCCTCCTGGTAAAATGACAGACTTTGGAGTTTGCAAGATCAAACTGAGAAGGTTTCTAATAGCTGCCTTCAGAACCACAGGAAGTGAAAAAAGGCAAAATTGTTCTTTGAGTGTTTCTTTTTTAAATTGCACATTAAATTGATGTATGATGCACATTTTAATCTATGGTTCTTACACAACTTTTTCCCTTTTGCATTCTAGATGCACAGTCTCCAGTGGTCTGATCTCTCACGGTCTGTCTGTACAGCAGAGCCTACCAAAGATCTGAGTTCAGAACCGTGGACAGAGCTCACTAACACTTAGAGATGAGAGACTCTGCTCAGGGGGAGGTCAGCAGCCCTGTCTGGCCTGATTTACCACCAGCTGATCTCCAGCGATAAATCAAAGAAATGTGCTGGTCTGGAGGAAGCACGGGCTTTTGCCCAGGGACAAGCTTTTTACTTCAGACGTCCCTCCCTGCCCTCTGCAGTAGCCCGCACAGGCTGCTGCCAGCCGGCTCTCCAATGCTTCATGCACTTTCTTCACAGAAACTCCTACTAAGGACTCAGATTGTAGATTTGCTGATCTTTGCTCATTTTTATATGAATAAGTGTCATGAAGCAGCAGAACAGAGCAGCGGTGTTAGATACAAACTGCGGGTTTTAGGCACAGATAAGGGAGGCAAATAATAACAAATCGTAGGCAGACTTGTATTTCTTTTATAAAAAAAATAACTTTTAAATCTGTGGACTTTAATTGAATCTCGTTGGCAATCGTCGCGGTCGCTTGCTGCCTCGTTATCGCCGACAGCAGTAATATTTGCTCTGAATTAAGCTACTTCATCATAAAAATCAACCGCCGGTGGCTAGCTGTTGATAGCAGACACACGGTTATGAAAGAAATCAAGAATAACTTACGAATTTATACGAATTGATAATCCAGCTTCCTTTGAGCTCTCAAAATGTAATAATTCCGTTCATCACCCGAGACTGCCTCCTTTCTGTCGCCGGTAAACGCGCCGCTGAGAGGAGCCGCCAGATGGGGGAGGGTGAGACGGCTCAAATCAAACCAACCATAACGGAGGGGAAGGTCTTTCAAAATAAATGCCCAATTTTCTTCTTCCTATTATTATTATTATCATCATTATTATTATCATTATCATTATTATTATTATTGTTGTTGTTATTATTATTACAACGTTTCCAGGAAACTGTGTCAAATATGTATAAGATGAAATCCTTGTATTAGAGAAGCTGAAAGCACATGTTTTCTATTTTTCACTGTACTAAGAACAAGTATTTTTGGACAGTGGCAAATTGCTGTTATCTAAATAATCTTATTTTTATTTCTTCTTTGATTACTCACTCTTGCAGACATGACTGCCACAAAATTATCATTCATTTATACCAAGCTTTTTGATGTAACTCAACTGAAAAAAAATCTAATTATTTGCTATATATTATACTGAATATACTTCATTGCCTGTGTGTTAACACACTGTGACTGTGTGTAGTCTGTGTAAAAATAAAGTAAAAATAGAGTAGAAATAGCCCATAATACTGTTTACTCTTAAAGGAAAAGTATGTATGTATGAAACAGACCAAATGTATTTCGAGTCAGGTTGGGAAAATACCCCGAGATTTTTACTTCTTTATTCTGAAAGAAGCTTCCATGCAAATAAATGGACTGCATACAACACATTTCTTGGGGTTATTGTTTTGTTTTGATTTTTAAATGCCACATCCCTTCAGTAAAAAAAGGTCTGTCTGCTCTTATGCATATTTAAAAATATTCCAGGTAGATATGAAGATTTTCTGCAGGAGTAACTTTCTTTTCTTGGAGGGCTGCATCTTGCTATCCAGGGTCCATGTTTCTGAAGCCTTTGAATCACTGCTGTTTAAAAAAAATCACTGTATTTATTTATTTTTTTATTCATTATTTGTAATATTAATATTACAAATAAACAAAGTCATACAGAAGGAGAAGAAGCACAGAGCACTAGTGGATGATTTTGTTGAGTTTTGAAATGTCCTTCACGTCTTTTTTTAAACTAAGAAGAAGTCGCTGATCAGCTCGTGCAGCTGGTTTTAAAGGATGACCCCAAACTTTGCAGCTACATATTGAACACAGGATACGTTTCCCCTCCACACCAGCAGAGGGCGAGCCTTTCCAGCCGGCCCGCGCCACAGCATAAACCTTCCTGATCGAAGAGAAACTTTCCTTCCGGCTCCGGTCCCTTAACAAGTGGAAAGGTAAAGTGAGACCCGGCGCAATAATCCAAATATATCTTCACCATCTCAGATTTTGTGAAATAAAAATAATCGTTTTTTCATTGTTATTAAAATTATAAATGGAGACATATGCGTATTTTAGCCTTAAACGCCTCTCAGTCGTTGATATTCGGCTTAGAAGTAGAGAAGTAACCCCGGCTTCGGCGTTCACGAACGGTTGCCATTTTTCTCCTGTGACGCGGTCTTCAGATATTAGCTTTTAATTTCTATAAAACAGAGTGGCTGTTGATGTGAATGTGTCCAAACATTCCTGATGTGTTGAATTATTAAAGCGTCCGCTGATTGTCTCTTCAGCGATTTGATTTTCATTACTAGATGTGTCTTAGCACGCTAGCCAGTTAGCATGCTATTATTGAGGCTGCAGTAAGTATGGGTTGAGTTCCAGGGATCTGATGCACGTTGTCTCTTAATGCAGATGCTGATGCCCAAGAAGAACCGCATTGCTATCTACGAGCTCCTCTTCAAGGAGGGAGTCATGGTGGCCAAGAAAGACGTCCACCTGGCCAAGCATCCTGAGCTTGCTGACAAGAATGTACCCAACCTTCACGTGATGAAAGCGATGCAGGTGAGAAAGAACGAAGGTCCAGCTTGTAAAGTTCTCACCAAGACTAGAATTAACTGAGATGTAGTGACTGTAAATGGGCTCGTGGGGAGAAGAAAGTGGGGGGAATGTGACAAAGTGATCATGAATGTGTTTTGAGCATCACTTAGGAGTTCTGGGTTTGTGTTTTTAAGTGGGAAGATGTCATTTGTCAGTCCAGATATCAAGTCCTGGTTGTGTACCTGTAAAAGTTGTTTAGTAGTTTAACAGTACCATGCTGTCTGGACAATGTCCCCCTTACATGTTTGGGTTAGAGAAAGTTAAGGGATGCGAATTATATTTCTTTTCAGCAGTTAATTCTGAAGTGAAGCTCCTCTGCATTAAAAGGAGCCAATTTAGATGGTTTGGGCATGTTGTTATTACACCTCTTAGGGAAGATTTTTGTTTAGGCGTGGTCCAGATTAGGGTGGCTAAACCCGAGGCAAATTCAGGATACTCTAATTTGGGACTCTCTTCCTATCCTCCCAGAAGAGCGGGAGTGAGTGCAGATTTAGACTTTTCTTTTTATATTTATAATATAGAGCCGTTAAGAAGAGAGGAAGTAAGGGAATGCATGCAGAAAAAAGGACTTGGCTTGAAGGCGAACCTAGGCTGCTGCATTTAGTTCTGTGGCATGTGGTCATCTGGTACACCTATGAGTCCTTGATTTTATTTTGAGTTTACTGTGTAATGTATACAAGTGGCTGATGCCATCGCCACCTTGTGCATGGCGCTCACATCCCAGTGTTTTATGCAATGCCTGCCATAATGTCAGGACCTGTCCCCTTTGTGTGTGCCCCACCACTTTTTAATAGACTGTTTGATTTGGTCCACTGTTGTATGTGGGGAAAAAATCAGCATGTATCTGTTTATTTTTTATTTATTTTTCTCTGACTTTCACAGAGGATGTAACTTTTAGCTGATTTTTACTGCCGTCACACTCATGGCAAATGGCATTTACAGTAGGATATTACTGATATGTATCTTTTGTGCCCTTTCAGGTTTCGTAAAGTTGTGTGGCTGATTATTTGCTCTTTCAAACATTTTTCACATGGGTGTTGGTGTCGGCTCAGAATTTATTGCATCGGAGTTCATTTTATCTTTTGGAATGATTGTAGGGCAGTATGGTATGTGGTGGTTAGCACTGTTGTGCACTTACTTGCTTTCTGTGCACTTACCTGAGCAAGAAGCCTAAAGATACTTTCTGCATAGTGCTGCCATACCAACCTAGATTTTGTACTCATTTATTGTGGTAGTCAGTATAATGTGGTAATTGTGCTTTTCCGTGCAGTCTCTGAAGTCCTGTGGGTACGTCAAGGAGCAATTTGCCTGGCGCCATTTCTACTGGTACCTCACCAATGAGGGCATCCAGTACCTGAGAGACTTCCTCCACCTTCCCCCTGAGATCGTGCCCGCCACCCTGCGCCGCCAGACCCGCCCTGAGACCGCAAGGCCCAGGCCCAAGGGTAAAACATCTATCATACATGCTTGTTTCTAATAAGTTTTGATTTTTCATTTCCTGAAGCCAGAAATACTAGTAATAGTATTTAATATGTTAATGCTTCCTGAGGTTATAAATGATATTGAAGCTGATTGTGAACTCAAAAATCTGGTGCTCAAACACAGTTTTCCAGAAATCAAAGTTGCTCATCTAAACTTCAGCAGATTGTTTTAGATGTTCTGGATCCTGAGTGTGATCTGTTCTAAATAAGGTTTATTTTTTTCTCTTTATCAATGAAAGTTTTTTGATTGACTTCTGAACTAGATCGTAACAATCTCATTTCATAATTTCCTTGCCTTTCGTTGAAGCTGAAGTTGCACTTTCAATTGGCATCTTCAATTGGATCTTATGAAAATATGCTAAAGAGGTTTCAGCAATTAAGTGCCACATAAAATGTTATGGTCTCCTCTTGCTGTTAGAGGGTGTTGTAAAGCATACAAATTTAAGTAGTTCATTAATAAACTCAAAAGAGGGACCCCAGAGTCCAAAGACTTATATTTAGTGAGAATTGTTAGCATTAAAATTAAAGAATTTTAAAGCCTATTGAATTTCCTCTTTTGGAAAGCCAGGAAAACTGGAGCTTAATGTTTTGTCATCTTTTTACCTGCAGGAGTGGAAGGAGAGAGGCCCGCCCGCCTTAACCGTGGGGAGGCTGACAGAGATGCTTACAGGCGATCTGCCGCGCCCCGTACGTATAACACCAACTACACTAGTCACATTATGAGTTGCTCATGTGGTCTTGTGATGTTTACATGAATGATGCAAACTAAAATGGTAATTTTGGATCATACGGTGGTGTTATTCATTAGTAAAATGTCTTGATTTTTCAGAGTGAAATGTGAAAATGCAGTGATGTGACCCATCACATGTTCCTATAGTTTGTCTACTCTTGTCTGAATGAGCACCTCAGTCCTCATTCTTATAGGCTGGTCACGCAGATATTAACACCAATAGTTGTAACCGCACAAAGCTCTGAAATGACCTGCCTCCAAAAAGTACAGGCATCTGCAGACATCCGAGCACCTCGATAAACTTTGAGTAGATTTGTATAAAATTTTAAAGTTGGAGGACCTCTAGTGGCTGTCTGAATCACTGCATGTAAAAACTTTACACTGGCTACGTCACCTTTAGATGGCGGTAGAAACCAATGCCCTGGAAAATGTTAAACGTTAATGGTAAATGTAATGTTGTAAAATGGTTTGTTTTAAGCCAAATCACAGCCTGTTTCCAAACCAGTAGTGCTTGTGCCAAAACAAAAGCAAATGACATGTTAAATATGTTCTTAGGTGAGAATCTAAATCATGTTTCCTTTAGAAAACTGTTCTACAACAAAATGATCACAATGATTCAGATGAAACATGTTATCAAATATATATTATTGAAAGGATTGAGCTTGTATGACAAAGACAAAAATCGATGTATGTGGAGGATTTTAAAATTTTTAAAAAATTTTAAAAATGAGGCATATGAAGCTCCCATCACATCATTCTGATGTTCAGAAGGCAATTTGCTGGTGTGAACTTTAAACTTGTTTATCAAAGAAAAACAACAGTAACAATTATTATTACTGCCCCACCCCCCTTGTCTAATTTTGGTATATATTTGACATGTTATGGTGAAGTTTTAACAAGTTTGACATTTCTGAAAGTTACTGGCTGACCTCTTAACTCATAACTTCTCCTTTAGCTGGTGCTGACAAGAAGGCAGAGGCCGGTGCTGGAGCTGCCACAGAGTTCCAGTTCGTAAGTACATTTCCTTTGTTTCATGCGGGTATTTTGAGAAATGGGCTGGCAACAAAAACCTTGTCTTGATCTTGAATGTTTTTCTGTTATAAGAATTGTTTTCTACAGCAGAACAACAAAGGCTCTCCTCCCTAAATTTGTGGGTGCGGTTTTACATGGGTTTTAAAAAGGAATGTCAGAAAGCTAAATGTGGTTTATACAGTGCAGCTGGAAAACTTGTAGATTCTTGTATTGAGCATGTTGGTCGACTGACAACATTTTTCTGTTGCAGAGAGGTGGCTTTGGACGCGGCAGAGGACAGCAGCCTCAGTAAATTTCACTCTCTCTTTGTGTACAATAAAGAAAATCCAAATACAACTCGGTCTGTTTGTGCTTTTCTTCTTAAAGTATTTTGTAAGATGAGCAGGCGAAAGTCCACATATGTTGGTTATAAATTTGAGCAATGTGATGGTGGACCAGCTCAGGATTAATTGAGTCTTAAAATACTTTGATAATTAATGAGTGTGTCAAGAGAGGTGCCACAGTGAGACTGAGATGGTGTCAAATGAAAAACAAATGCCTTTGTTTTTGGCAGGAAGTTAGTCTGGTGGGTAAATTGTGTGGAGGGTCATTTTTACAGTTATCTCCCTCACTGTTAGTCCACACAGAAAACATTAGGTGGTTATGGTAGCGTCAAGTTGAAATGATCTAGGACTCAATGACTCACCTGCATACTAAATTGGGCCTTTTTGCCAAAGTTATAATTAACCCAACATAACCTTTTTACACAGAGGAAAATTTCTTTTTAAAGTTTTTAACATTGACTCTGAAAGTTTTCCTGAAAGCAAAGATGGATCTGGGCTCTTGTGCGTGATGGACTGGTACCCTATCCAGGGTGTAGTGAGACCCTAAATTGGATAAGTGGAAGAAAATGGATGGATTGATTTTCCTATGTTGACAAAAAGTACTACCAACCTTGGAAAGGATGTCAATACTACTGAATACATCAGGAACTATACTTGACCATGAGAAACCCAATTAGGTTGTAGCTGCTACTGAAGACTCAAAAAATGTTAACCAGCTTATCTTTTAATTTTCTGGCATTTCTCTGATGTTTCAACACAAATTTGACTTGACAAATCTGCTCATAAGCAGATTTATCTAATGAAAGAAAGTGTCTTGATAGTCTTGAGATGTTGACTGCTTTTGCACATGAACCTCAAGAGTTAAAACAAACTGATGGGTGAGTTGGCTACAGAGTTACAATATTTCAGTTGTTGTAAATACCTACATACTCTAGAACAGGGGTGCCCAATCCCGGTCCTCGAGAGCTACCGTCCTGCAGCTTTTAGATGCATCCTTGTTCCCACACACCTGAATCAAATGAATGGCTTGTTATCAGGCCTTTGCCAAACATGATGGCATGCTGAAGAGGTAATCAAACCATTTGATTCAGCTGTGTTGGAGTAGGGATGCATCTAAAAGCTGCAGGATAGTAGCTCTTGAGGACTGGGATTGGGCAGCCCTGCTCTAGAAAGAGCACACTTGGAGACGTATTGAACACACACACACCAGCCTGAATGTGAAATACTGGTGTTTATTTGTTGGCACATTTATATTACAATCTTCAGTCTTCTCACACTGGTCTTATTCCACAGTCCCAAATGACAAAAGAGGAAAAATAATAAAAATTCCAGTGACACATAGACCTTGAACACAAATACAGATATGCAACTTCAAGGCTGAGGTCAACGGTTCAAAAGTGAAGTTATCAAATTCAGAGTTTGGTTGTTTTTCAGAGATGGCAGCTGTCTTTTTTTTTTTTTAATTAACATATTTTTCCAGTCGTTTAGCAGGTGAAACGGTCATCATTGTGCTAAAGGAAAACTGAATGTTACAAATCCTCAGCTGCTAAGTGATGTGCTTTGTTTTATTCTTTTGCTTTGGCCACAAGATGGGGCCCAACTAACTGACATGGCAACACATTAATAAACCGTCCACTTTGGTAAATTAAATGAAGTGACTTTATCTGAAGCTCCAGTGGTTTCAAGTTAGGAAGCGTCATTATTTTAAAGAGGCAATTTTATAGCCAAGAAGTCCAAGAAAGGGTGAATGTGTTTGTACCATCTAATGATACCATCAGTCTAATGTGGAATTCAAGTGAAAACCTTTACTTCCAAATTTCCCGCTAGCACTCCAACCTAAATCAGTCAATTTGTGACAGAAACTGTTTGAATTTTAGTAAGAAGGGTTAAAAGAAAAAAAAAGAATTACAATAATCCTTTAGGACCAAAGCCAAAGTGCATTCTCTGGCTATCAGATTGCTGTGTTACCTATATACAAGACATCAGGTTGTCAGTAACAAGAGAAGACAAAACAAAACACAGGATAAGGAATAAGTGGTTATTAATAATTAAAAATGACTGGCTGTTTACTTTACTGTTTAAATCCTCCTCACATTCATTTTGACAGTACCTGTCACCCTGCATCAAACTAGAGAGCCATAGTTTATTAGGCTTTTGTTTTCTGCCATATGTAGTTTCATCCCGTTTCTATTTAATTGTACCTTTAGATGATGACTAAAAAGTCTAATCAACACAAAATCTCATTTCAAGTGCCAGGTAGAGCATCATAAAGCAAGACTTTGACCACCACACCTTTCTAAAACAGCAGTAAAAACAGTCCAAAGTCTCAGGCTGGAGGAGACTTTAGACCCTTTTCACCTTAACTGTCATTCAGAAGAGATCTGAATTCCTGGATTATTGCAGGGCAGTGTTAGCAGCTGTGCTAGCATGTGGTGATTTCCACCATAATCATAAACATGGAAGAAAAGACTCAGTCCACCACTAAAAGCCACTCTGCTCTTTGTCTAGATAAACTTTGCTCCACTTGCTTTCAGTTCTCATTTCCTATCAAAGGGTTTCTCATCAGATTGTGAATCATAAGACTGGAGTTTTCTGTGCATATTCATTGTTAAATACATAAGTACTGCCAAGTCTTCCAACAAACCCTAATGAAATCTTTTTAAATCTATGGGCATCAAATACTCTTTTAATGTGGCTATAATCAGTTTTTTGTTAACATGATTTTTTTTTTAATGTAAACTGTGTTTCTCTTATGCAAGAATCAAAGACCTTTTGCCTATGTACTTAAACTCAACTTTACACTATTATTCAGCATCTTTTAGCTCCTCCTTGTGGTTTTCCAGCCTGCAGTCCCACATTGCCTGCATTTATACAGTTGTAGCATAGTTTTCAGCTGCAACTGCTTAGCAAAAACAGAGTAAACAGCCATCTGGTGAAAGTAGTGGCGGGGTTATAAACTAGCCAGAAAGAGATAAGGGAGAGCAAACAAAAGATGAATAAAAGGAAAAACAGAACCGAATGAAATTCACCAGTTAGAAAAAGACAACTCCAAACAAATGCAAATGTTTGTTGGATGTGCAAATTTTGTGTCCTATAAACTTGGAAGGTGAAATGTATCAGATGTGCTTATGCAAATCTTTCCAAATTTATCAATGTGGGGAAAAAAAGGCAGAACACCAAAGTGGGGAGATCAATGAAAGAAACCCTCTAGGGGGAAAATTCACTGATTAAACCTAGTGGTACAGAGGAGGAAAAGACTCCAGGCTTTCCAACTCAGAATGCAGTTATACTTCATTTCATAGTTTGACTAAAGATGATAAACAAAAAGAAAAAAAGAAAAAAAATCCTTGCCATTACCAATTAATTTTGGTCTAAAACAAAAACATTAAGGTTGTTACAATTTTCTATTATAAATAGGCTCTTTAATCTCACCCACAGCCACATTCCTTGTTCTTTAGCCTCTGATGTACTGAATGCTATCTCAAGAGAAAATTCCTCACAGCTTTAAAGCCAACGCAGTGAGTTCAATCAGGTTTTCCAGCCTCAATTGAAATGACATGTAGCACTCACAGATGTGTAAGAGGTGTTTTGTCATTTGTATTCTCATCTTTGATCTATACAGAAATAAACAATTTACAATAAAAACCTCTTACATGCTATCTACAGCGCCTCCAGTTTCACAGTATTGAGCCAGCTGCTTCACGCCACATCGCAGCCAAGTGATGCAGCTGAGCTAAAGAGACTTTTGCCAAACGTTAGAGAGGAGGAAAAAAAACAAAAAAAACCCCAAAAACAAACAAAAAAAAAAAGAAAAAAAAAAAGAAATAGTATCCAAAAAGCATTTTACATGTTAAAAACAAGGTCTCAAACTGTACAAGGCTTGTTTGTTCTGCATCTTGCCAAAATCAGTTTGACATCAGTTTAATGTCAAGCAGGTGTTTTGAGTATTTTGGGGGATGCAGAATAAATACTAAGGAGGGAAGGTTTAAAAAAAAAAAAAAAAAAAAAGAGAGTCATGACCATAATGAAAAGTGCCCGCTAAATTCATCTGTACTATGTTACAAACACAATGTAAACAATTGCTTTTAACCAATCTGAATGTGAGGAGTAAAATATGGAAATTGTTTTAATAACTTAAGTGATATGTGCTGCACTTTGAAATTACACAAGTCCATGATTCTGAAATCTACTATTTCCACCCTCTCAGTGTTTGGAGGAAGACTCTGTAGTCAGTCACATGAAAGCGTTTTAACAAAGAAAACAAAAAGGGATCAAAAAGAGAAGAGTGAGGACAAAGATGGTTTTTACATTGTCTGCTGACATTCTTTCAGTCACTGTGCAGCGCATATACATATATACATATATGCATGCTCTGAAATTGAAACCTGTAGTGCTTGGCTAGCTTCCCAAATAGGAAAGAAACACAGCTGAAAACAGAAATGGAAAGAATATTGAAATTAAGGGGCCGTATCCTTCAGGTTAAAAAAAACACAACAAAACAAAACCACAAAAAAACATAACAAGAACAACTACAACAGGAGAAGAGTGAAGAAAAGCCAAAAGACCTTACCCTGTCTGTCACACAGTCAGCATCAGGTCACTCGAGTGAGTGAAACGCAACAACAATAGCGCTCATGCAAGACAAGTCACTTCCCACAATTCTTTTCGTTCAGATACAATTTTTCCTATCCTTAAAACAGGGGAGGGAGTACACTTATTATGAGCACATTCATTCACAGAAAAATAAACAAAACAAAAAAAAAAAAAAGATGGAGACATTAAAAAGACCACCAAAAGCCTTCAGCTTAAGCACTAAGTATACACTTTTACATTACAACAGTAAAAAGTAGTTCTTGCATTCAATAAACACCACGCTAAGGGTGTGTTAAGGAAAAGGGAATGAGGGGACACTTCATGCAGTTGTCAGTAAAAACAAAAACAAAAAAGAAGAGGGGTCAAAAATTACATTTACATTTACAAAGTGTTTTGGACTATTCATCCAACACTTGTTGAGTCTGCACCAGATTTCTGGCACAAAGGAGTTGGCAAGGCAAACCATGTTACTGAGACAAAAGAAAGAGAAGAAGAGAAGAGAAGAGAAGAGAAGAGAAGAGAAGAGAAGAGAAGAGAAGAGAAGAGAAATAACACAAGTAAGAGCGCAGGTGGTGGCGAAAGCTCCTGGGGTATTCAGAGTTGTGGTTTTAGTTATCTGATCCCAGAAACAGAGCTCTGATTGATGCTGTAGGTAGGGGAGAGGTCCCCACCTATCGTGGTCACCAGTGGAGTTCCATTACTGGTCAGACAACTCTCCTGGAGAGCCTCAAAGTAGGTGGCCTGCACAGGCTTGTGACACTGCAACACTTGTATGGCATCGTCTATTTTAAACCATTCCCTTTTTCTCCCTGTTTTGCAGAAAAAGAAAGCATTGTGGAGAAGGTTAACATGCAAGAAAAAAAAACACCCAAGGGGAAAAAAAAAAGTCATTATGAAAAATGGGTTTTGACTGATTATTAGTACTGTACACACAGCTAAAGTGAAAATCACAAGGGCAGGAACAAAGCTGGTTTTATAATCTTCCCCAGTAAACACACACTAAAAACTGTAATATCACTAAGGCCAGGCAAAAAAAAAAAAAAAAGCTACAGTCAAGCATGTGACTGCCTGAGAACTTTGTCCGTATGATCCCCATTCTGACAAGTAAACAAACAGTGCTTTACCAATGTTGACTGAGTCCTCCCAGTCCTCCAGCACCTCCGTTACAATAAGAACATACACATAGGTCCTGTGTTTTCTCTCCTGGTTCTGTGGAAGAAAACATTTGCATAATTAACCAAACAGTAAGGTGACACTTGAAGACACCCCCCCAAAAAAGTCAACACACAGCAGCTCACCTCAAATATTCCCACCAAGCGACCTAAAGTCCCCTTCACACCAGCCTGTAAAATGAATGAAAAATGATGAAATGCTCAGTAAATACTGTCACAGGATGAAGTCACAACAGACGATTAAAGGCTTTTCGTTCAATATGAAGAGATTGAGGTCTATGCAAAAACACTTGTATAATTGAATGCACTCCAACAGCCTAACAATAAACACCCATTTGAACCTCAGTGTTTAGTTGAAATAGTTTCAAATAGAGCTGATTTAATTTGTACGGTAATTGGAAATGGTGTTTGTTGTGCACTGGATTATATTACATCATAAGATTGTGTTTATCCCCACACATTCACTCCATCTAAATCCTGGATTGTGGTTTTTGCGTCCACAAAATAAAAACAATATACAGCATATACAAAGACTGAAGTCTTGTTCTGCATGCACTTTCCTGCAACGAGGCACATTATTTAGGGCTGTAAAACAAAAACAATTGGGGATGTTCTTGTACACTAACTTAATAGGCAAGAGAGATTTTTAGTAGATACACTTATCGTATCCATTTGAAAATTTGACTTCCTTTGAGTTATGGCATTTACAAGATTTGGCTGAGTGTTGCACATTAAAGACGTATTAGCCTCACTGACAGAAATTTTCACTGCTGACAAGCCAGGGCAGCAATGTTCAACTGTCCAGTCAACTGATTGTGCACATTCCTACAAAATACAGTCATGTGAGTCTTGTGAAAACCGAAGTACACCCTTACTGCCTCCAAAGGAATTAAGAGGGTAAGCAGAAGCCAGGTGCTACTAATTAAGTGGGTATGCAAGTGTGAAGAAGTTTGAACAAGTATGGGTTGTTTGGAAGGGTTGTCAGGAGAAAGATTAATCTCTGTAAAAAGAACATGGCAACACAACTTGGGTTTAGGTTAACAAAGTTGCATATGAACAAACCACAAACAAACCACTTGTGGAACAATGTCCTTTCAACAGATGAGACCAAAGTGAAGATTTTTATTACCATAATACAAAACGCCACATTTGGATAAAACCCAAACACAAGATATCAGCACAAACCTCTGATACCACTAACAACGCCTAAAACTTGGCCAAAATTGGGTCATGCAACAGGACAATGATCCAAAGAATACCAGCAGATCTACAACAAATTTACAAAGAAAGGACTCAAGGTGTTGCAATGGAACAGTTGAAGTCGGGACCTCAACGTGACAGAATCATAAGAGATCTGTGCATAGAAAATACCCGCAAACCTCAATGAGGTGAAAAAACTTTGTAAAGAAGAGTGGGACCAAATTCCTCGACAATAATGTGAAACTGACAAAGTCAAACAGAAAATGATTACTTGCTGCTGTGTACTTATTGCTGAGCATACTTCAGTTTATCGCAGGACTGCTTAGTCCGATGAAAACTCTTTTCATATGACTGTATGTCATATGACATGTTGTTCTTCTTTTGATTACACTGAAAAGCATGCTTTTGACAGCTGTCCAACAGTGTCAGGAGCCACTAGCATATATCTTGCCTCCTTTAGCTTTAACACAAGCCAAAAAAAGAAAAAAAGTAGAGAAAAAACAAAGCAAAACAAAAACAAGGTTTTTGCTGCCTCAACTTCAAAGCCAGTTTGTTTTATTTTTTCCTAGAAGGGATTGGTTTCCAAGTTTCTCTTTAGATACCATGTTATCATTACCCAACTTCGCCCAACAGATAACACACTTGGGCTAACAGTCGTTGACATTGCTGGTCCAGCAGAAGTCATATGACAGGTATTTTTCACGCATCTCCCCTTAACTGTAAACTTTGTTTCCCCACAAAACAAAGCACTATATTTTCCCCTATTAGGCTCCCATATATGCAAATTGCCAGGGATTTGGCTCTCGTTTTTTTTTTTTTTGTAGTTCTAAACTGCAAAAATTTATGATCCTCACAAACAAAAACAAAAAGAATTGGTGCACCACTTGGAAAACACTCTCCTAGCTGAAAAAGCTAACATCCCTAAAAAAGGGATCAATTCACAAAGTAGGTCAATGTCAGGTTTCCCCCTCATAATGACTGGACATAAATTACTTCTACAGCAATGAAATTACTATTAAACGCATTGATAATTGTCATTGATTTCTTCTGACAAAATGTTTAACATTAATCAAGCAACTGACAAAATAAACAAAAACAAAACAATAATATAGTGAGGAAAAACAAATTCACAATCTGTCAGAGCCCAGTCTCAGATGTCCAACTACTAGTCAAAAAAACTAAACTACATAAAACATAATATTCAACAAAAACAGAAAAACATTTTTCAGAGGCTGAAGCCACAGTTTTCTTGGAAAGTACCAGATTAGTGGCGGAAAAGGTTCCTGATTTACTGATCAACTGATTTTTAAAATTGACTTATTATACATCTGAAAAATAACCCTCTCTCAACTTTTGGCACTTTTTGACAGCCTCTCTCTCAAAATCGTTTTTAGTTTTGTCATGTAAAAGGTCAGGGAAAAAAGCAGATGAATAAAAACTTTGCAAGTTATTATACCTTTTCTCACAATCCTAAAATCAGAGCCATATAAATGTCACAACCTTTCTGTCATAGAGAAACTTTAAGGTCTCTGAGAGCTTAATATTGTTGAGAAAATTTTAACACCAAAAATCATCTCCAAGATTTTAACTCCCAGAGGTTAACAGTAGGTCAGGTTTTGATACAGCACCAGGCCTCTCACTGACATCTCTGCAGCTTCTTCCTCAGTTTCCAGTTTCACTCTATAAATAAATGTTGACTCCACACACTGTACCAATTGCACTCCTAAGGCCTTCAGCTTGATCATATGGTAAAGAGCAGGCACACCACTAGAAACTCCAAAGACGAGCCAGGGATTAAGTAATAGGCCAAAAGTCAACCTGTTTGTTTTTATGAGATGGAAAAAGTCTCCCAGCTCTGGCATTCATGTAACACAAGACTACTGGGCAACACTTGGGAAGAGGATGTACAGCTGAGACTTCGTTAACAGTTATGCAATGCGTCTTCAGGTTGCAGGGTCGGGGTGCATCTCCAAGATACAAGGATTAACAGAGATAGTGAACAGTCTAACAAAGAAACCCTCTGTAAATTTTGGCTTGCTACTGCATGCCTTGTCTTCACTCTCATCCCTGGAGAGACTCCAAACCAATAAGCATAAGCAATCCCTTATCACTTATACGGTGATCAGAACAGGCTCACCAGGATTAGGATATGTCCTATTACACCATCGTCCAATAAAAGGCTTAGAAAGCCAGTGTAGTTGGTGATGTATCAAGCAGCACTCAGTCACCACAGAGTTTCTGAATGTAGCCTTTTAGCACATAAGGAGCCTGAGAAGTGATGTGACATTGCTTTTGACCCTGTGGAAATTTGCTGGCAGGCCTAAGTGTCCTGCAACCACCAAAGCTACCAATCAGCAGGAGCCAGGATAAGGGATGATATCAGCATCCATCAGTGTGACGGATCACACAGAGAGGATAGGCTTTATAAGGTCAGCGGCCCACTAGGAGCCAACCGCCGGGTGAGATTCAGTGTCTTATGTGCCCTGTGTCCATTCTGATCAAAATATCCAAAGGATGAACAGCATGCAGAGTGGAAAAATACCTGATTTAACAAACAGGCGTAGGCAGTATAAGTAGGATATTGATTTCCAATTAGCTTCAGAACTGTTTACTAATTACTACCCATCCACCCCAATACAGAACAACAAAAAACAACACGTTGTGTCCTCCAAGCTGCCCTTGTAATGTGACCACTACTGTATACTAATATATATAGCTACGAGAAACTTACAAACAATAAAACTCAATTATTGTCATTTTTTGCATTTGTGTGACTTGACTGTACTGCAGTCAAACTGCTGTGCAGCCAGTGTTCAATCTCTGTGTGACCTCCTTTGACACCTAAAGACTGCTTTGTAACATGATGCTATGATACAGCTTACATGTTGCTAGGCTCTCTCTCTTACTGTCCATGCAAACAGGATGACTGCATTGACAAAATGGATTTTGAGAACAAGGTATCAGGCTCAGTGTTAAATACAGACAAGTTAACAGAACTGTAATACAATACATCTTAGGAGAAAGTGTGGCAAAACAAATTTGCCACACTTTCTGAGAATTATATTTCCAGCTACTGACATTTCTGAAAAGGATCACGTTAAGGTTCCCAGTACGCAGTATACATAGAGACAACATCTGTCACTTGGAAAACCAAAGAGAAAAGGCCATCATACTACAGGCTTAAATAAGCTATAACAATATTGAGTGACACAACCAACCTCTTCACACACTTCTCGAGCTGCTGCAACATTGGGCTCCTCTTCGGGCTCCATTCCCCCTCCAGGAACTATCCACTTGTCAGGATGTCGACTACTGCTCACCAGTAGCACCTGCAAAACACCCCATACAATACTGGTCAGGTATGACAGTCCAACTCTGAGTTACTGTTCACATAATATCAACTGGGACATCGAAAAATACAACTCAAGAAAAATGGAAATGATAACCCATTGGGTTTAAGATAACTAGTACTTTTATTACTGTCATCATAGCTAGTGAACTAGTTTAGATGTTGGGTTCTTAGTGGAGATGAGCTGTGGAACCCCTGGCTGCCAGTCAAATAATCTACAGTCTTAGGTAAAAGTTTCCACTTTGGTGCTGGTAATGCTGATACGTTTCCTGTAATCAACAACCCCTGTCTACACAGTCTGGCCTTTACTTTAACCAAAATGAGGAATTGGTTTGGTCATCTCCTCCCCTAGAAAAATGTAAGTACAAAGACATCTTTGTGTCTCCTTTTGACTGTACGTGAGCGTCCCAAATCGCGACTGAGCTCAAGTAATCCACAACACGTTTTCGCTTTTTCTGATACGGCGAGATAGGAGCGATAAATACACAAATAGCATTAATAATGTTGTAAAATATGCACACAGGGCTCGACGCTTCCATTAAGCTGGTGCTCCAAATATCAATAGTGTCAATTTCGCAAACAAACTAATCAAAATACACAAGTGATACAAGCCGGCTATCACTGCCAGAGTCATCTTCTGGCTTAAACTAGGATAGCTACTAGCTACATAGCAGTACAATGTTTGGCTAGTAATACCAGTTGCATTAACACAATACACTTAGCTCGCCAAACCATCTGTAACGCGAGCAGATACATATCTTAGCTGTCGCTTTAAATACTAAATATTCTCTGTCCATCCGACAGCTGGTAGTGATAGAGTCAGCACTCACCACAGCCTGTACTGTGGGCTGTGGTTGCTGGCCGATAGCCGGCTGCCCACGGCAGCAACCCGGGTAGTTAGCAAGCTAACGTTAGCATTAGCGCGGAGCTAGTAAGTCTGGTCATAACCGAGGCTGCTATCTGCACTGCTAAAGAGGCTTACATAACACTCGAGTAAGTACCAGCTAAAAAATAGTGAATAATCAAAACGTCGGGAGTCGACACGAGAATAAAATAAATCATTTTCCAGCTGGGATAAAACCAAAGCCGTGTTGATAAACGTCTCGATCTACACACAACAGAAAAGGCTGGATAAAACCTACGGATGCTAATATTAGCTTGGCCCTCCAGACAGTTCACATCACCGAACTCACCTCCTCCTCGCTCTCGCTCCTGAAGCACAGGCAAGCGGCCCGCTTCTTGTAGCCATCCCCGTCGTACGTCCGGGTTTGGTTTGACTTGAGCTTCATCATTTCGGGAGCGTAAAAGTTCAAAAGTACAGCTATATTTGCCACTTATAAAGACGATGGTTGTAGACGCAAAGTCCTCCTACGGGGAACCTCGGCGTTTTACTTAAAAGAAATAACTTCTTCTTCGCTTCATTTTCACAAACCTGGGAACATCTACGGCACCGTCGCCATTACAAGGAGCCGCTACGCCCACGACGTAGTTTAACCATTAATAGCTTGGCGAGCGTAAGAAATTTACCTATCAAGGGTTGAAGAATTTAGGGCAACGAAGCGTGGGGGAAAACGCAGCACCACGTTCTGACTGGAGTGAGCCGGTAAAGGGAACTGGCACTTGAGGCTCCAACTAGATGGCCCGGTCTACTTATCTGATGCCGATATTAATTTATATGACTTTTTTATTTGGGGAAACATCGTATTTAGCGTAATCAAATTAGTTTGCTGCTCACATTAGAAAAAGAGACACCAGGTTAATTCATCAGTTTCAGCACCGCAGGTAATGGACAGCGCAGGAATGGCCCTCAAAATAGAGAAAAGCTGTTTTTAGGCAAACACAAAATTCAAGTAAGTCTTCAAATGTATTTTTGTCAAATCCTAATATACTTCAAATGGAAAATAGCTGCAAAATACCTAAATAATAGAAACTGTTAATAAATTATTAAGCGTAAAACTGGATTGACCTATAATAAAATTATATTTTAATTAAGGTGGATAGTCTACTATCATGTTGATTTTCAACCTTGTTATCCCTACATGGGAGTTTTAGTATTTAATTGCTCAGATGCTTGTCAAAACACATTTTCTAATAATACATTATAAACTATAATTATACACTAATGGCCTTGGGTCTCTTTTTATACAGGTTAAAAAAAATACATTTGAAAGTCCTCCACGAATCTTCTTTTATTCTTCATCTAGTACTATCTAATGCCCCATATCTGCAGAGCAGGCTGTGGCTCTAACAGTGCATACTAAATCAACATAGAAGCAAATAGCGTATCGATCAGAAAGAACACTTTTGTGCCCTCAGTTAGATCACAAAGACATTTCTGAATCTTTATCTTTGCTTTCCAGGAAAGGTCGACCAAAGTTTGAATCTTATCAGGATTTTCTGCATTGTTATAACTTGGATAAGACATATAAATATGTCTTATAAGTCCAATTTAGGAAACAGCATTGGATGGTCTGGGCTTTTCGATGTTGCTAAAAAAGCACCCTGCTCTGCATTTGCATTATTATAAATGAACAAACAATGAGTCACAGTTTTACAAACCTGTTCAGGTCCCTAAATAATCAGTTTAATCTCATTATTGCAGCGACTTAATTGTGGGAACGCCAAATTGAATTTTAAATTGAATTTGTTACATAAACTTGCCAACCACACAACAAAACCCTGTCCTTAACAACAGAGGATGAATCTGATGTAACTGCAGTGCAAAGGAGTGGGCCACAGCAAACAATAAAACAAAAATGCTTTGTTGTTGAATGTCTCAATTTCACAAACAAACACAAAAAGCACAGACATGAATCTCAGCTTTCATACAAGCAAACAAGTTAATTTACAGTATTTTATGATGTGTGTAAAGAAAAAACAAGAAACCACCACCACAAAAAAATCCACAAAAAAAAAACCAAACAAACAAAAAACAGTTCAAACAGTTCAAAGTTCATGGAATAATAAAGCCCAGTTAAGCGGACATGAATGAAAACTCTTTAGTGTCAGTTGAAATGTTTTCTGTGTGAAAAATTGGGGCAGGGATAGCTCAGTTAGTGTGGTTGCCCCCCACTGAACAGCTACCCTGAGGTACACCTGAGCAAGGTACCATCCCTACACACTGCTTCCCGGGCGCCTGATTAGTGGCTGCCCACTGCTGCACTGAGTGAATGGGTTAAATGCAGAGAGCATAATTTCCCCACGAGGATCAATAAAGTATACATTATTATTATTATTATTATTATTATTATTATTATTATTAATAATAATAATAATAATAATAATAATAATAATAATAATAATAATAAATTAGTCAGGTCTGCAAATACAAACAATAAACCAAACCAGAAAAGAAAAAAAGGGGCAAATATTGAAGTTATTTTAAGCTGACTGGCACATCATGATTTCCACCAAACTCACACAAATCCTCAGCATGCTGATTTCTTACAAAAGCTCTTATTCAAGTCTTTTCTATTGATTGTTCAAGTTGTCACTTCATTGCTTTTGTCATAGCTGCAATAACTCAGTTTCCCACCAGTAATCAACGCAACGCATTTTCTCCTTATTCGATTCACTAACTTCTCAGTTTTCTACCCACAGATGTTGACATTTGAAGTGGCTCTTACCTTCTTCTCAGCACATCTCAGATTGCTCTTCATTAAAGGGCAAGTCTTGCTTCGATGACATAATCAAGAAGAAAAACAAACACAAACAAAGCTAATCAAAAACTAGTATGAAATTATGGTATTGAATCTCTGTAAAATAAGAATAACTCAGGCTTAACGCTTACATTTTTATACATCTAATTATTTGAAAATATGTAATACTGAGCAAGGACGCCTTTTAAAAGGTTTAAACATGGAAATACATTAGGTTGGGAAGAGGAGGCTATAACTAAGCAACAGGTTGCTTGTATTTGGACCCATTTGTCCATTTCTTCCACTTATCTAATTAAGGGTTGCCACAGGGCTGGAGCGTTTATTAAACCCTCATAGGCTGAGAGACGCTGCACAAATTGCCAGTCTGTTGCAGGACTAACACACAGAGACAGACAGTTCATGTTCACAACCCTAACCCTTTACATCTATAGCCAATTTAGAATCTCCTAACCCGAAATATGTCTTTGGACTATGGGAGCTCATGCAAACAGGGGAAGAAGATGCAAACTTCACAGACAAGGGCCCAAACCTGGATTCAAACCAGAACCTAATTGCTGTGTGGGTGACAGTGCTAGCCATCAGACCACCATGCCACCTGTATTTGGTCCTACTTGTATCATATTTTTATTTAAACACATCCCCCATTAATTATTGGGGAAAAAAGTGAAAAGCTTGAGTCCCCTAAAAGTGAAACTAATTGTACGGCACAGTAGGTGTTCATAATATTGTGTCCACCACCTCCTGTGTGTAGCTATTAAAATACATTACAAGATGGAGGAAAGAAAAATGTAATTAGATGTGTTGCCTCGGGCTAATGTAAATTATGCAACATTAACATATAAATGTAATTAAAATAAAATAACAATTAAAAAAAAGTGTTTTCTAGGAGCAGGAGTTGGGTCAGCACATTCTCAGTTGTTGAGAAAAGGCTTCATGATACTGTAATTATGCACATTCAGCATCATTGTTGTTGACTACTAGCAGATGATTTTCAGTGTGCAAGGAAAACACACAGACGTGTGGGGCCACAGAATTTTTTGTTTGTTGTAGATTTTTTTTTCTCTCTACAAAAATCTATATTATATCAGCCTTGTCTGCTAGACTAACTAATCTCTTTATTTCTTTATCAAGTCATTCATTAATCTTCCATTCTGCTAACCACTTTCTCAATTAATTCACAACCTCCCTGCTCTATAAAATGACATATAACAGTTTCAGAGAAGCACTGACAGAAACGGAAAAGGAGATTACTGAAAAGATAAATTCAGACAGAAAGTTTCACATTATGGGCATAAAAGTCAGATACATTTATGCTAAAAAATTTTTAAAAAAATTACATTTAAAACAACTCCAAAGAATTATAATAGATGCGGAACAGAAAATGACAATAATTAACAAAATCTAGTGAAAGAATAAAAAGGAAACAGACATAATAAACAAGACAACTGAAATACCATAAACAGGCATAAAAGACTATAAAACACCAGGTCAAAAAGCATCATATAAAACCAAGTCTATGAAATTCTACATTAGGAAGTGATTTGAAGATTATCAAATGTATCTTAAGGATTGAGGGTGTAAGACTACAAACTGGCTTATATTCGATCCATCCATCCATCCATTTGTTTTTTTAACAAATGAATTTTTTTTTTTTTAACAAATGAATATTTCTTCTACGTAGTTTGGAGTGAAACCCAGACAGGCTTTGAAATGTGTGAGTAAATTTTAAAAACTAAATTTTAAAACAGGAATCCGGTTGAGAAATCCTTCTGAGGGTCCAACACCAGGAGATACAACCCAGAAAGTATGACACCAAGCGACGGGTGAAGTTTTGATGGTTTCAATTGATGATTTTTCTCAGTGAATCAAATTTCGGGTTTCAGCTATCTTGATTTCACTTTCTCCAAGCATCTGCCAACTTCCAAGGAATCCATAAGATTTATGAACCCAACAGAAAATAAACAACACATGTTGCAAAGACATTTGAAATTCATCAGGGTCACAGTTGTTTGCACAGAATGAAATATATACTTTCTATGCCGCCTCTCTCTCTCTCTTCGGGATGAGGAAAGCAGGTCTTACACAATTAAACATAGGGTCACACTCAAGAGGCTGCACTATTACGATCTGCTGTTGCTACGGCAACCAATTCTCTTTGGAAGTCTCTGATGAACCATTCACACATAGGGGCGGTGTTACACTTTCTGCCCTGTCCAGAAGAGGGCGCTCACCTCTTGCAGTACTGCAGCATTTCTTTTTTAATTAATTAATACATTTTTAAAAAATCGTTCATAAGGGAGCTCTTATTCCTAGACCATATGATCTGATCCATGCGTATTTTAAGGAAGAATTCTTACTATGTTCCTTTCCCCCTTTTTTCCCTTTCTAAATATAGATCTTTTTTTGTTTGAATTTTCATGAAAGGAAACATGACTTTGATGTTTATCTTCTACGTTGTGTCACTGGTACCATATGTGTGCTTAAATTAAAAGTGACACATACTGAAAATCAAAACCTAACAAGTGATGAACTCCAAATCAAGGATATTAATTTTCAGTTGATAATGATGAAAACTAATCAGAGTTAAGGCATATTAAAGCACACTGTATTAAAAAAAGAAAAAACAAACTATAGAACACAGTAGCTAACCTAAATTAGATACCAATACCTGAACAGCTATAGTCTCAGATCTTACAGTGAAACCTCCGTATAATTATGTAGGACATTAAATCTGGGTCCTTGCAGACTTTGATACAGATCTTAAGCTTTACTCTCACAGGTATTGTTCCAGTTTCAGTTAATATAACTAAACTTGCTGATTTGCTTATTACAGTTATGTGGTAAAAAGGCTTTTTAAGAATTATTTTGACAACCTGTACTTTGTGACAACTTTGAAAATTAATTAGAAAGTATAAACTTTTAGGAAGGGGAAAAAA